CCTGGATCGGGACACCACGGTCCCGGTCCTCCTCCTCCATCTCCACAGTCTCATTCCTCCTCCTCTACCTCCACCGTCCCTCCGTATCTGCAGGATGGGATTTTTCCAACTCCCCCAGGCCCCAGAGGGGTCAGACCCAGCAGCATCGGGGTGTTGGGTGGGAGGTGGACGGGTCTGGCCAGAGCCCCCCATAGCTGTTGGTCATTCCCTCCTTGCCCCCTCGGTCCATCTGATCCCAATGTGTCCCCGGTCCCCAGCAGTCCATCCACCCGGCCCCCACCGCCAACCTGGACCGCACCGATGACACGGTGTACAGCAACGTCATGGACCTGGTGCGGGCCGTGCTGCAGCTGAAGAATGAGATCAGCCTCCTGCCCCCGGAGGGGTACATCCTCGTGGTGAAGGTAGGGAGGGCAGGGAGGGGACAACACCAGGGCTTCTACAGGGAACGGGAGAGGGAGTTGGGAATGAGACTGCTGAGCGACTCCCACCAAGCATCCTTGTCGGGAACGTCTTGCATATATAGGAGGGAGCATTTCCAACATGCCCAGCTCCTCCTTTGGATCCTTGGGTCAGTGATGGGGAGTTTCCGACACGCCCTGCTCCTCCGTTGGGTCCTTGGGTCAGTGGTGGTAGCACTTCCAGCACTCCCTGCTCCTCCGTTGGGTCCTTGAGTCAATGGTGGGAGCATTTCCAGGATGTCCTGCTCCTCCGTTGAGTCCTTGGGTCAATGATGAGAGAGTTTCCCACACGCCCTTCTCCTCCGTTGGGTCCTTGGGTCAATGGTGGGAGAGTCTCCCGCCATGCCTCTCTCCCGAATGGGATCCTTGACTCAGCGGCACAGACCGTTCCCATGCATCGCTTCCCTGTGCCCTGGATCCGTCCTAACCCTGCCGCCCTCCCCGCAGAACGTGGGCCTGTCCCTGCGGAAGCTGATCGGCAGCGTCGACGAGATCCTGCCTGTCCTGCCCGCTGCCTCCCGCACCGAGGTAGGACCGGGAAGGAGGGAAAGGGGTCTGGCATAGGGTCGTGTGCTGGTGGCATCCCTGTCTGTAACCCCTGCGTGTCATGGTCAGATCGAGGGGACCCAGAAGCTGCTCAACAAGGACTTGGCCGATCTCATCAACAAGATGCGCCTGGCGCAGCAGAACGCCGTCACCTCGCTGAGCGAGGAGTGCAAGCGGCAGATGCTGACGGCCTCCCACACCCTGGCCGTGGATGCCAAGAACCTCCTGGATGCCGTGGACCAAGCCAAGGTCCAGGCCAACCTGGTGAAGCTGTGCTTGGAGTGAGGGCAGGGGCAGAGAGAGGGAAGGAGAAGGGGTAGGGAAGGAGAGGAGGAGAGGGACCGCCGTGCTATGGTCGGTGGAG